TATATATATATATATATATATATATATATATATATATATATTTAGGACAATATTTTAAGAGCGAGATAGACAAACACAAGTTTGGAGCCCACTTCTTCCTATGTAAACATACACGTGAAGGGAAGGAGCTGGCCAGGATTTTTAGAACCCAGAGAACTCAGGTTCTGTCAAAGACAGGAGGGACCAAAGTCATTGGACACAGAGCCAGTGTTCACTCAGGAAAATGTTCTGTTCCCCAAAGTATACATATGTACATTTTTATCTTTGACTTTGGGAACACTAGCCAGACTTCTGGACTTTAAATAAACATTATTCTTAGAATGGTTGCTAGTTCTGAACTTGTGACTCGCCCTGACTTCTCAGCTGACCTTGCATCTCTCAAAATTATTTTCTTTCAGCAAAGGGTGGATTTTCTTCAGCTGATGATAAACTCCCAGAATTCCAAAATCAAAGAATCTCATAAAGGTAAGCAAGGATGTTTCATATTTAATGATGGAGAACTTGAGTCAGGAGTCTGTTCTAGAAATATGAAGGAGGCTTTTCAAATAGATTAATATGCCTCAAAACTGAAAACAAACGATTGCTACTTTCTCAAACCCAACCCAACCCAACCCAACCCAACACAACCCAACCCAACCCAACCCAACCCAACCCAACCCAGCCCAACCTAACCCAACCCATAGATGTAGCCAGCAGCCAGAAGAACTTTACAGAAGCACAGGACGATTACTGTGTTCAAAGCCTGAAGGGCAGCCATAGCATGTGCTCCAGACCTGGAGGTCAACAGTGGTCTCGATCTTGTACCACAGAACCAATAGACTCACTGAGTCAGAAGCTGTCCCTGTAGATTTGCATTTAGACATCCAGCATAGCCCCACAGTGGTGATAGTCACGGGAATTACAGGGTACTAGTCTACCCAGTACCCCAGTACTTGATTTACAGTCAAGCTTTGGTTTCTTGTCTAGTTGATAAGGAATGTGTAGAGAAAGACTTGGTACTAAGCACATATACAACTCCTCTTTACAGTTTTCCCCCTGCTCATTTCCTATCATGGATATCCTTTGAGGAAACTATTGCTGTGATAGTTTAAGAAAGATGTCTTTCTAATTCCACCATGTCCCATGCAGCTATGAGTTATGTTCTATGTAAGACAGGGACAAGCTGCCCACTTTCTTGGTTTCATTTAAAAAGTAGTTAACAAGGTTTAGAGAAATTATAGGCATATAGTCAATTTCAGCTGAATATATACAGGGTATATTCCCACTCTCTTATGTGCACAGCCACACATTCTTTTTAGAATATATCTTAGAAATTCACTTATTTTGTTTGTGTTTGTATACAGGCATGCACATTGAATGGTGTGAGTGTGAAGCTTAGAGGACAACTTGCATGAGACTGTCCTCTCCTTTTACCCTTATGGGTTCATGGAATGGAAGTCAGTTCATTGGGTTTGGCCCTTTATCTGCTGAGCCATCTTGCTGGACCATCATGCTCTCTCTTTTTATTAATTAATTAATTAATTAATTAATCCCAATATCAGTTCTCCTCTCCTCTCACAGCTCCTCCCTGCAATTCCTCCTCCTTTTCTTTTGAGAATGGAGAGCATGCCCTTTAATGGTGAGCATGCTCACCTTGGCACATCAAGTCACTGTAGGAATAGGTGCACCATCTCTCACTGAGGCCAGACACGACAGCTCAGTTAGGGGAATGGGATGTACAGGCAGGAAACAGATTTACAAATAGCCCCTGCTCTAGTTGTTGGGCGATTCACATGAAGACCAAGCTGCGTCTCTGCTACATATTTGCAGTGTGTGTGTGTGTGTGTGTGTGTGTGTGTGTGTGTGTGTGTGTGTATGTGTGGTTGTGTGTGTGTGATTGGTTCAGCCCCTGCTTGCTTTTTGCTTGGTGGTTCAGTCTCTGGGAGCCCCCAAGGGTTCAGCTTAGTTGACTCTGTTGGTCTTCCTGTGGAGTCCCTATCCTTTCTGGGTCTCTCAATCCTTCCTCTACCTCTTTCATGGGACGCCCCGAACTTCTTTTATTGTCGGTCTCTGCATCTGTTTTGGTAAGCTGTTGGGTGGACCTCTTAGAGGACAGTTATGCTAGGATCCTGCCTGCAAGCATAACAGTATCATTAATAGTGTCCAGGATTAGTTCTTGCCCATGGGATGGGTTTCAAGGTGGGCCAGTCATTGATTGGACATTTCTTCCCTATTTGCTCTATTTTTGACTCTGCACATCTTGAAGGCAGGACACACTTTTGGTAGAAGGTTTTGTGGATGGGTTCCTGTCCTTATCTCTCCACTAGGAGTCCTGCCTGGCTACAGGAAGTGGCATCTTCAGGACGTATATTCCCAACTTCTAGGAATTTCAGCTAGACTCACCCGGGGACCTACCCCATTCCAATCTTGGGTTTCCAGCATGTCCTAGAAATGCTTCATCCCCACCCATTTCCATTCTTTCTCCTCTGCTCTTCCCAAATGTGATCCCTCTATCCACTCTGCTTCCTTCCCCATTTCCTTTACCACCCAGTTCCCCACTCCATCTAACTCTTACATTTATTTAGTTTCTCCTTCTGTGAAAGATTCAATCAACCTCCTTTGGACACTCTTTGTTATTTGGCTTCTTTGGGTCTGTGGTTTGTAGCATGGCTATTCTGTACTTTGTGGCTAATATCCACTTATAAGTGTCTACATACTGTGCATGTCCTTTTTGGTCTGGGTTTCCTTATTCAGGATGATATTTTCTTATTCCATCCATATGCTTACAAAATTAATAATAGCTTTGTTTTTAATAGCTGAGTAATATTCCAGTGTGTATCACATTTTCTTTATCCATTCTTTAGTTGAGGGGCATCTAGGTTGTTTCCAGTTTCTGGCTATTATGAATAACACTGCTATGAGCATGATTGAGCAAGTATACTTGTGGATGGTGAGTATCTTTTGGGTATATGTCCAGGAACAGAATAGTTTGGTCTTGAGGTAGAACTATTTGCAGATTTCTCGGAAAACATCAGATTGATTTCCAGAGTGATTGTATGTGTTTGCATTCCTAGCAGCAATGGAGGAGTGTTCCCCTTGATTCACATTCTTGCCAGTATGTGCTGTTCTTTGAGATTTTGATCTTAGACATTCTGACTACTGTAAGGTGGAATCTCAGGGTCATTTTGATTTGCATTTTCCTGAGGATAAATCTAAGGATATTGAACATTTAAGTGTTTCTTGTCCATTAGAGATTCGTCTGTTGAGAATTCTGTTTAGTTCTGTATCTCATTTTAAAAATTGCATTATTTGGATTGTTGGTGTCTAACTTCCTGAGTTCTTTATATATTTTGGATATTAGTCCTCTGCCAGAAGTAGGGGTAGTGAAAATCTTTTCTCAATCTGTAGGCTGCCATTTTGTCCTATTGGCAATGTCCTCCGACTTACAGAAGCTTTTCAGTTTCATGAGGTTCCATTTATTTATTATTGATCTTAGTGCCTGAACAATTGGTGTTCTTTTCACAAAGTTGTCTCCTATACGAACGTGTTCAAGGCTATTTTTCACTTTCTGTTTTTTTTAGAGTTACTGTATCTGGGTTTACCTTGAGGTCTTTGATCCACATGGACTTGAGTTTTGTGCAGGGTGATAAATATGGATCTGTCTGTATTCTTCTCCATGCAGACATCAGTTAGACCAGCACCATTTGTTGAAGATGCTTTCCTTTTTCCATTGTATGATTTTACCTTCTTTGTCAAAAATCACATGTCTGTAGGTGTTTGGGTTTATTTCTGGGTCTTAAGTTCTATTCCATTGATCAATCTGTTTGGTTTTGTACCAATACCATGCAGTTTTTATTACTATTGCTTTGTAGTACAGCTTGAAGACAGGGATGGTGATACTTCTAGTTTTTATTGTATAGGTTTGTTTTTATCTATCCTGGGTTTTTGTTTTTTGTTTTTTAATATGAGATTGAGAATCATCCTTTCAAGGTCTGTAAAGACTTGTGTTGGAATTTTGATGGGAATTGCATTGAATCTCTATATCGTTTTTGGTAAGATGGCCATTTTCACTATGTTAATCCCACTGATCCATGAGCATGGGATATCTTTCCATCTTTTGATCTCTTCTTCGATTTCTTTCTTCAGAGACTTTAAGTTCTTTCATAGAGGTCTTTCAATTGCTTGGTTAGAGTTACACCAAGATATTTTATATTATTTGTGTCTATTGTGAAGGGTATTGTTTCCTATTTTCTTTCTCAGCCCATTTATTGTTCGTATAAAGGAGGGCTACTGAGTTTTTGGCACTCTCCCATTTTTAACGTTCCTCAGTGGAGTATGGTTGTTATGAGTACTGAACTTACATGTTCATATTATCCCTGAAAGATCATAGTTACAGTTAGAGTTTGTTCTTGACCTTGTCATTTTTAGGAGTTGACAACTGTATACTGATATAGCACACCAGAGCAATACACAAAGTGTTTTCTACATCTTTATAAACCATTTTCCTTTCTGTTGCAAGTTATTTTACATTTATGCTAAGTTTTTTCATACAGGCCTGATATCAGATTTGCTTAAAGTTTCTAATTTCAGTGTGAAATGAAATTTCTTTTTTTTTTCTTTTTTTTTAAATAATTTATTTATTTTTGAACATGAAATGCTTTTTTATAGCATGTTTCACAAGGGGAGGGGGTAAGAGGGGCCAGATGGTGGAAAAGTACAAAATCTTCTTGGCCTGTGCCTTGAAACATGTCATGGTCTATACGGTACACTGCCTTGAATTATGATCTACCTGCTGTTCTTCAGAAGATATGGTACACTGCTTGAGTTATGGTCTCCCTGCTATTCTTAAGATGATATGGTACACTGCTTTGAGTCTATCTGCAGTTGCTAAGCAGGATCTTGCAGTTGCCAAGCTTCAGAGGACATTGTGCAGGTGGGGAAAGGTAGGGGGTGAGGGTAAGGGCGAGGGTCCTGGCTTCTGGCATCTCCCCCTTCTCTGTTTAGTTAGAGAAGGCATCTTATGATCAATCCCAACTATGTGAATTTTGAATTTGGATGTCTAATTATGGGGGGTCTTAGACAAGTTCACAACCCCAAAACACTGATGTGAGACGAGTCACATCGATGGTCGAAGGTTTTAGGCTGTCGACGATGGGCAACGTCAAGGGACTCTGATGTGGGTGAAAGGAGGGTGAGGGCCCTGTCTTAGGCCATGTAGGCTGCACCCACTCCCAGCACCACGCACTCCTTTTCGGCTGCATTGGGTGGGCCCCTGGGAAGTGGACCTACAATAATCCCGTCATTGGGCTAACTCACAGCCATCCTAGTCTCTTGTAAATGTTCAAGTTACCAACCATTTGTCAGTTTGGGGTGTAATATTGTCATAAAGGAAGGCTCCCCAATGTTAGCGGCCATATCAAGGGTGGCCTTGGTTTAGGAAAAAGCCAATTTTTGTTGTGGTGATCAAGAGGCCAAGCTCTCTATCG